AATGCCGTAGAAATTCCGCCGAAGTTCCGTTGAAATCGGTAGCATTATTCTCGCTGCTTCTAGAGGAATCATCGTACATTCGCGCGCTCTTAGCTACGTCACTTTTGATTTATGGTTACCAGTGGCGGCCGGCGTTATTTTATTTCGGACATGATTTATAACACTACCCCCTTCTCTGGGGTTGTTCGCCCCGAAAAACATTCCAAGAGGGGACATTACAACCTATGTAAGGACTTAGCCTCTCTATGTGGACAACTCTGGGCTTGCTTCTGGGTGACAACTGGATTCTGTACACCAGATCGTTTATCTTTTTGGTTACCAAGTAAGGTCCTTGCCATGGTCTCTGCAACTTGGGACACAAACCTTTCCGACGTTGGGGTTGGTAGAGCCGCGCTGCATCGCCCTCTTTGAAGCTCACTGGCAGCCACTTTTTGGTGAATCTTATCTTCATCCTGTCGCTGGAAAGCTGTAATTTGGTCCTGGCAAATTCGTGTGCACTTACCAGTCTCTCCTTCAGGTCATTTATATACTCTGAAAGAGGTACCTCTTGAGATTCATCGAAAGGACTGCCACACAATACATCTATCGGATGCTTCAGTTCCCTACCAGTTAACAACATGGATGGTGTGTGACCTGTCGCATCATGTTGGGAGCTCCTGTATTCCAACAGAAAAAGAGGAACTAATGTATCTCAGTCTCTTTGGCTTTCGGAGACAAACTTCGGAAGGTAGTTATTGATGATGCGATTATGCCTCTCGACCATTTCATTGGATTGTCGGTGGAGAGCAGTTGTTCTTGGCTTCTTTATTCCCAACAGAGTCATCATTTCCTTCCATGAATCCGATTAGAAGTTGCGGCCATGATCCGAGTGTAGTTCTTGAGGTAATCCGTGTCTGGCAATTACGTTCTGCAACAGGATTTCTGCCACCGTTTCAGCCTCTTGGTGGGGTAAGGCTACTACTTCGGGCCATTTGGAAAAGTAGTCCATCACAACCATAAGATACTTGTTACCGGATATGGTCATAGGAAGTGGTTCCAAAATGTCGACTGCAGCTCTCTCGAAAGGGCACCCACTGAGGTACTGCTTCAACTTTCCTCTCTGCCTTGTCTTCGAACCCTTTCTCGAAAAGCACAGGTCACAGCGCTTACACCACTCTTTCACGTGTCGACGGCAATTGACCCAAAAGTACCTCTCACGCACTCTCGCTATAGTTCTATTTACTCCGAAATGCCCTCCAGTGCGACCATCGCGGAGCTGTTCAAGGATACTCGAGATACACGTCTTAGGAAGGATCTTCTGGAATTTGTGGGTTCTTCCATCCGGGCTTTCCCATTTCCGAATGAGTAGGTCATCTCGAATGCTCATGGAGTCCTATTGGAGCTAGTTACCCTTTTCCTGCTGGCCGTGCTTGGAAATCTTTTGCCATTCCGGCCTCACTCCTTTGGCAATCCATTCTCGAACAGTTTTCAAGACGGAATCCTCCTTCTGTGCTACGGTAGTGTCACCCTCAGAAGCTGTTAACGACCGTACCACACCATGGTCAGGTGATTCCTCAAATTGTCTGTCCATATCTTTGGACAAGGGACCCTTACAGGTTGCTACCCTCCGGGTCAGAGGGAACCCGAAGAGGCGGGAGGTAGGGAAGCTTATCTCCCTATCAGAGCTGTCCATAAAGGAGTATCTGCCCGCTACCTTATCACGTCTGGTGGAAAGTTCTTCTTATAGTAGCAGGGTATCCTTGTCCTGGCGTTGGCGAAATTTGCATTTGGATGTCAAGCATGGTCTCCTTGAGAGGCTATATGAGTTTTCGTGAATCTTTCCTGTCCGATGTTTCCGGAAAACCTTTTCAAATATATTTTCGACTCCTTCGAGCTTCTTTTCAAATTTCCTTCGGACTCCTTCAAGCTCCTCTTCAAGTTTCCTTTCATCCCCATCAAACGTCTCATCGACTACTTTTTCCTATCCCTCCTTTGTTTCCCGAAATACTTTTTCACATTATTCCTGAATCAATTCCTGTAGCTCCCCTTTACTCACTTGGGAAGATACATCTTATTGTCTTTTTCTTGTTTCTCCTGAATATTTACCAATAATTTGCGATATTCCTCTGTTTCTTTTTTGTTTTTCCAGAATATTTATTAGTAATTCACGGTCTTCATTTCAGCGTAATCGTTCTTCCTCTCTCCTACGTTTATCTTCCTCTGTTCTGCGTACAACTTCTTCTCTTATGCTATTTTCAATCTCCGCCAGGCCCGCTTGCCAAGCCATGAACATTTTCTCAAGTTCGTCGTAATCGACACTCATTGTGTTCATCATAAAACAATGAATTTTCAGTCAATTATGCCACTTCCGAAACCAAATGTTATGTTTTTACCCGTGGGTTAACCAATAATTGAATACATAATCAAACTTAAGTTTATTTCACTTCAAATACAACAAACACTTCAACTAAAACTTCAACTATTATTTGAATGTCTATCGCCTTGTTAGATCACTTCGCGTACCGCACTGTAACGTCCACTTGACAGTGTCGATATGCTCGTGGCTAGCGTTTCAATATCGTAATCGAATGTCGTAGAAATTTCGCCGAAGTTCCGTTGGAATCGGTAGCATTATTCTCGCATCTTCTAGAGTGGCGGGGAATCATCGTACATTCGCGCGCTCTTAGCTACGTCACGTTTGGTTTATAGTTACCATTGGCGGCCGGCGTTATTTTCTTTCGGGCTTGATTTACAACACTTTGAATAATTTGTTATATGAAAAATTCATTATGAAGATTCAAGTATCATTATTTCATGAGTATTGAAAAGTTTTGGATGCCATCAACACATTTAACTTTCAAAAGAAAAGTTGAAGTTGATATTACTCGCCCTCTTGGGGCTTTGTTCACGAGATGAGACTATTTCTCTTAGACAAACATTTCATGCATGCAGTGGAGCCGCATTGAAATTGATCGAGTCCCAGACATACTGCTGTTTGGTTTGGATCTTTCCTGCACTGATGAGGGGTAATACCTCGAAAGCGTTTGTTTGAAGGTGGTTGGCAATGTTTCGTGGTGCACTTCATCAGTTCGGTCTTCCAATGTCTGATATGATATGTATCGTTTATTTAGCACAAGCTAATGCAGTTACAATATTAGTCTTAATCTAGGTTAAAAATTTAAATGTCACAATTAAAATTTAAAATTTAAAATCATGTACATTGAAACATATAAATAAAAACAGCACAATAAATAAAATAAAAAGAAGAAAAAAAAACTGTATTAGCAGGTTCCTATACTAAACACTTTGTAGGTCTAAAAGGTGCACTTTTAATTTTCNCAAAGTTTTATTTGGATTGATTTTCAGTCCATGATTCTCCGAGTAAAGAAATGTTTTGTGCAAATCTGTGTTTATATTGGCCACGCAACTTGCTGTATCAGTTTTATGAGAGGACAAATATAACTGTGTATCATCTGCGTATAGATGTACTTGAAAATGTGATAAGAAAGTGGGGTAATCAAAAATAAACACTGAAAACATCAAGGGTCCTAAAATACTTCCCTGCGGTACACCTGAGTTTGTTTCTTTCAGGGATGACCATGAGCAATCATCCAGTTTAACCCACTGTGATTTGTAGCATCTGACTCTGTTCTGTTTTATTTGTATTTTGTAGGGTTTATTAAGAACAAACCTTGGTTCAATTGCAAATGTGAGAGCTTATTTTCCTCTTATTGTTTCGATATGTTTGTTGCAAGTTCGTTAATTGTAATTATACCAGATCATTACGTATTTAAAAGTGTCGTAAAAAATAATTTCCTCAAGAAATCAGTAGTTAGTTATCAACGGTTATTTTACAGGTATCGCTCAGGCAGTGGCAGGTACCTCCCCTAGGAGTCAATACCTGCAAAAATGCCAGCAGCTGTTTCAAATTGGTAGCCGGGGGAGCGAAGCCGGATGTTTCACATGGCCACGAGGTGTGGCCGTTGGACCCGATAATACAATAGTCGTTGCCGATTCATCTAATCACAGGGTTCAAGTTTTTGACTCGAATGGCCGTTTCTTAAAAGAGTTCGGTCAGTACGGAAATAAAGAAGGAGAGTTTGACTGTCTCGCAGGAGTTGCCGTAAACCGCATAGGACAATATATTATTGCAGACAGATACAATCACAGAATACAAGTGAGTCGAATTATAATTTATTATAGTAACTCAAAAAGAGAACAATATTCGATAACATAACCATCAAATTGAAAGGGGTATAAATTAATATGATCAATGGTATTGGGAAAAATATAGCGTCTGTTAAAATCAATAACTAAGGACTATTCAACATTGCCACCAAATATTCTGTAAGAGCTCATCTATAGTCCGTTCATAATTTGTTGATAGCTCACTGCAAATTTGACCCTCATTATAGAACTGAAATACAGAGAGGACAGCTAATATGATATAATAACAAAAACCAAGCTAAAACTGGCAGTTTAAGATGTTTTCGACTAACCCACCTTGTATCTGAAGAAATACAATACAGCACTTCTAGAGGAAATTCGATGACATCATTCAATTTGCCTCTACTTTCCGTTGGAGAGAATCTTTTTAAATGTATTACTAAAATATAGGGAAACTTGTGGATTGATAAGGACCTTGTGCATTTTCTCCTTTTGTTGCATTTCGAACACGTCGACAGTTTTTGAGAAATTTACAATTCAATTTCAACACATCCAAAATACAAATCAAGAAATTATAAAACAACACCAAAAATTAATTGGCGCACTGATTCCAGTGACGCATTTGCTGTTTCAGCTGCAGGAAAACCCGCAAAAACCTGCAGCACCACATCATCTGAAGAACTTGATCTGTCAATGTCCTCTCTCTCATAAAACAAAATGTAGAGTGTCTCCATAGGCTCCAATAAAGTCAATACATCGCCAGAACACTTAGTAACACGTCTATCGTCAAACTTAAACCGTTTCGTCTTTGACCAAGGCGTTATAATGACCAAATTCAACGCCAGAACCACAGTGATCAATGACTGCATGAGTATTATAATAGCGGTCTGCTAGCCTGAAGTTTCGAACCTTCGCAGGAGTTTGGTGCTTCCGTCAGAGGTTGAGTCATGTTTGAAGATCTTCCGTGTTATTATTAGATTGACTGGTGCCCCAGCTATACTTGTTTTCTTATATCTTATATCGACATTAATTTATATCTTCTAAACGGTAATAGATAGGTATAGGGAAATAGTATATGAATTTGTTGACAACGTGATAATGAATCATAATATGATATTATATACGGGGTGTTCCATTTGAAAAATCAAAAAAGCCGTTACTTTATAGTAGAAGCGATAATGCTGCTTCGTCTGAAATATTTCAGGCGTGTAGGTCATATTGATTTATGCAATATGACCTACACGGTCATATTGATTTATGCATACTGTGAAATTTTCAGGTTGATTCGTTGAATAGTTTGTCAGAAACGGCTAATTAACGCTCATCATGAAAAGCCCTGTATGGATGATTACCTAGATAGTGTTTTTATAAGCGCCGAAGCAACAAAACTCATTGAAGAGGTAATAAAAATACATGAGTCAGGTGGTTTTCAGTTAAGAGGATGGATTTGCAATTGAAAAGAAGTTTTGGAAGATTTTCCAGAGTCACTTAGTGGGAAAGATAAAATACTGGATGACAACGGTTCACAGAGAGTTTTAGGAATGAAGTGGATGCCCAAAGAAGATGTTTTAATTTTTTCATTAAATTTCCACAAAGTTAATGAAGATATTTTGACTGGTAAGATTCATCCTACAAAAAGAGATATGTTGAAAGTAGTGATGTCACTTTAT